GGGGGGTATCACGGGCGAAACAGTATAATACTCTGTTATGCCTATGGTACTGCTTATGTTTATAGGCGACGATTACCACTTTTTGGTTTGTCATTCTAAGTTGCATAAATAAAAAGTAAACTAAATGTCATAGTGATTGGTTAAGATGTTAAAGCACTAAGAGGTAACAAATAAACAACCTCGCTTTTAATTTTACAATATTAATCATAATTGTAGGTATTGAATTGTATATCAGATTATACGATAAATATAGATATATACTAAGTTGTCCGTAGTTCTGTAACAGTGGCTACAAAATCAATATTAAATCACGCGATATGCATCAGACAGGTACGTGAAATTACATTCCCGCGGGGTTTGAAACAATTCGTTCGTTATGCATCCGACGGACATGTTTTCAGAGTGAATGGCATTCCCCACTACTTTAATCACACAGTGTATTCCCATAATTATTTATAAATTCAACTGCGTAAATGAGAATTTACTAAATTTTATAAATTTCATAATCTCCTAATAATAAATTTCATAATAACCTTCCTTTTAATATAAAGGTGAAAGTGAATTTGTTACCCTTTTCAGGCTTAATGGATTAATCAATTACTATGAAATTTGGTATACATGTATTATGTAGGGAAGAGAACATACATAAGCTAATTTTTAACTGACTCCAAAAAAGGGAGGTTCTTAATTTGATTGATTTATTTTTTATATTAATGACCCTAGTACTCCATCCATCCATTATAAAGCGATCTGGCAGATTATTTTCATATTCTTATTTTATTTATTTATTTATTTTTTATTAAAGAACAACAACAGCTAGAAAATTTTATAATAAAAACAAAAACCAGTAAAGACGAAAATTTAATTACAGGTTTACACAAATAAAAACAAAATTTAACTAATGCACATGACATCACTAATACTTACAATCAACTAAATTAAACTTAGACTAACAAGACTATAAAAATCTTAAATTATATAAATAGAGCGTCTCCATAGAAATGCTTCGACAAAAGAGGGTTACTTTTTTCATACAATTTTGTATCATAAATAGTTATGAGTATTTCCTTTATAACTTTTATATTTATTTATTTTTTTATAATTTTTGCATTTTTTTTTCATGTGTAAAAACTCATTTTATGTATTAAATAATTAAATATATATACGTCAAGATACATTGTGTGCGTAAGTACATAGAACACTATATAAAAAACGGGTTAGCTAATTTGACAATTAGCTGACAAAAAGTTGACCCGTTTTTTGAGACTTGATACTCTATCTACTTTATATAAACTAAAAATATATAATATTAGTTTAGACCTCTAGAAACATCAACAAAATCTGTCCAATAGTTTGGTTTTTAAATAAAAATAACTGGTTTTACCACGATTAATGTCGGCGTTTTTCTTTGTGGATAAAAATCTACTTGTATCTCAGTTACACTAACGAAGACGCAAGTGAAAGCTGGCATTTTGAAAGTCATGATTGACTGCACTTGGTAGAACTTTGAATACATATTGACATTATTAGAAAATCACAATGCAAACTCCGTACAACTGAAGAATTCTTCAATTGTGTGTACGGAGAAAACAGACGTGAATAAACCTTTGACATGTCTTAAACAGTGAATACAATCAGATATTTATTATAAGAAATATGAAGAAGTAATTACAAGTGTTTTCTTATTATCGTACTAATATAATAAAATTCTATTGTACAATTTATTCCCAGTTTGATCAGTTTTTCATTACGAACAAAATATATGTTGTTTGCGGAGTAAAATCTATTCATTGGCATATAATATCACGTTCTAAATTCAAATGTTTTAAATCTAATTTGTCTATTTTTAAATAATTTAAAATAAGAATAGTGAGGTTACTAATATTTTTTTTTAATATAAACAGAATCTATAACAATTCGGTTAATCATAGTTATTAACTCTGTTCAAAAAAATTTAATTTTAAATATTAATATTGTAAACTCTTTGCAAATTTACCTTTTACATTTAATATCATTTATAACGTGATCAAAGAAGCCGTTAGGTTTTCGGGGTAATTTTGAAAACCTGGCAACTCCTTTGATGATATTTCAACGAATTTAACACATGCTTTGAACTCGACGTTGCATTTAAGATTATATCTATGTAAATACCTACTTACTCGAAGCTATTCAACATTTTTGTTATAACGGACTACTTACCTACCGCGACTGAAGTAAGTAGACAAAGATTTTTATTAGTAAAAGCACTCAAGTAATTTCGACGGTTTTACTTTAATCCGTCTTAACTTATAAGTTAAGGGAAGTTTACGCTCCGATTGTTGCGGTTCATCAAAAAATGCGTACGTACTTTTTATCTCAAAGTACAACAAATTTCTAATACTTTACTCATCGTAATTGAAATTTTTTAAATTAAACCCTTTTTGTTTGCCGAATCTCCAGAAAAATTTACGTTTTTTAATTCATTATAAAATTTTATTCTTGCTGAAATCGAACTTTATTCACATAATAGGCTATAAAGGGCTTCGCTTGCGTGTAACTCATTACGTATCTGCTGTTTATTCCCATAGTAATTTTCAAAGCCAATCTTTAGTTAATGAAGAACAGATAGAAGTGGTAGGTGGCGTGGTAGTGGATGGTGCTTTATCCTCATGACTATAAAAAAGCCGGTTATTTATTTCTGTATTGAGCCCGTGATAATTTTAATGTTGATAGAGATCGCCGATTTTTTTTCTGAATAAATTCATACACATTGATAATTTCCAAAGATATCTGTAAACCACACGAATTTGGCTCTGTCTTGTAAATAAGTAGATTTCATGGGAGTACAACGAATGTGTAGAGTTTCTTACTAATGGCCTTTACAGACGTGGGACATTTTGAACGCGGACAATATTTTCTCTTAAGGTTTTGTATTTACATCCGACGAGAACAATTAATCTGTGTAAATTTTAGTTCAATATTATTAAAACCACCAAAATTGTTATTATGCATACTTGAATCTAACCTAAATATCTATTTCAATGTAATCTTTTTTTTCTATAACATGATGATGATATGAGAAAACAAATAAGCATGTAGCTTACCTGATTGTAATTACCGTCGCCCATATGCATGTGCAGAATCGAAGAAATTGCAGGTGTGTTGCCGACCTTAAGGAAAGCATATGTTCTATTGCCAATATAAATGTTGTATTATCGCGCTTGTTAGATATTTTTTTTAATTATATTAATTTTTTTAAACGTCTTGTGTCATAATTACATACCTACATTTATTAATAAAAATCAAACCTACTACTTTAAAAATATTAAAATTGTTACTATACCAAATTTTGCAATAAATTATTCTTGTGGTGTATATAAAACATTAATTTATATTTTATATTATTTATTATCATGATACTTGATTAAAAATATTAAAATTATTAGAACACGTGTTTCGCCGATTTGTTTACTCGAATTCGACTGTATAGATATAAAAAGATTGCTATTTGGGTGGGGCGGGACTTCTTGTACAACCGTTGAACAGAGACGTATCAACAGTGAACAAGTATAGTAAACCACGTGATCATTATATATAATATATCACAATTATTGTTGGTAGCAGTTCTAAAGAAGCTATAGATAAATAAGTGTTAATGGATTAACAAAAGTTGGGTATTTATTTTATATTATTTGTTAAATATTATATACTAAGTAAATATGATTTAATAGTATAATTTCTAAAATAAATGAAATGTGAGTACTTGTGCTTCATTTCTATTTATTACTAAGAGGCTTACAACCTTTATATTGCTAAAGAATACATATACATGTAAAGTTAGGATTACGTAGTTAAATTACTATGAATACCTATTACCCTACATAGCATACTATATGTATTATAGATAAACAAAACAGTTTTTGCTTTTACGCTCTTCAATTGCATTATTATAAATTAGGTTAAAATTGGAATCGCGTTTACATTAGTAAGTTACATTAATATGCATCTGTCGAAATCGTGACAAGAGTACTGAATAAGCCAATTACGATATTAATCCAATAACATTTTAGTTCCTTTCATGGTAACGCAATATGATATCAATATGTCGCTAGTGTTGCGATTCGAGAGTGCGAAACGTCACAATTCCAATATTGATTTATTGGAATTTAATTCAAAAGTAACACAGCTATTGTGCAATTACATAACTTATACAAAAAGATTTTTACCAGTTAACAAAATAACGAAATAATTGTAGCAAACAACAATAATAGCATGTTCATAAAATTTCCGTTGTGTGTGCATATGGAAAAAATGACCACCGTCTTTGAAGGTCTTAATCCATAAGTTTACGGAAGTGGGCGAAAAAATGCGCGCCAAAAATAAACAGTTAAAAACAAATAAATTTATTTATTTAACTGTTTACTGCATCTTATATACAAAAATATACTGTGACAATTAGAAAATTCAAATACAGTGGGATAAAGTGTATGTAGATCGATTATAGGCATAAAAAATACAAAACGCAGTTTTATCGCTAGGGCAATCATTTACAGACAATCTTTGGATAATGGAGAACAGATTGAAGGTGGGTAGGTGGTGTGGTAGTGGTAGGTGAGTAGTGGTTTATCCTCTGACTGTAAAGAACCCGCTAATTTACTTCTGTGTTGAGCCCGTAATAATTTTAAAGATTGTCCCCTCCAGCAGGTCGCCGAATTTTTATGAACCAATTCATAAATTATCTATCTTACTTTTATTATATAAATTATTGATATATTTTCCAACATAATAATATTTTCCATGTTTTAATGTTCAGGTATACAAAATTATCGTGAGCATAGATATCCGGTTATCAAAAGCAGCCCGCAATATTAATCTGAAATAGAGAGTTCATATTTGAAATTGGCACTAATTAGCTAGCGCACTAACCGCATCTAATTTGCGTTCAAGCTGTACTCTCATAGCTCAATGCCGTATCCAGAGAGGCGAGGGAGGCGAGGGGCGCATCCCAGGCGGGCCAGGATCTATCCAGAAGTAGCCAGCCAGTCGTCACAGGACATCGGAACGTTTCACCCGCGACGAACAGTTGCGGGAAATCGCGAGAAGTTCCCGCTCGAACCGCATCTCTTCAAAAACTTGACGTTCGAATTTTGAAATTTTCATATTTTTCTCATAGTGGAGTGGTGTTAATAGGCAGTATTTTTAAATAGTTTGTAATGAGTTTTTTTTAATACTTATATTTTTAATAATAATTCGTAAAGTTTAGTAACTTTAATTTATTGCCAATTAAAATATTATTTAAAAATATTACAAAATAAAATCTTAATTTTACTATTATAAGAAAATGTATAATAGTTGTTATTAATTGTTAAATACTGAAATTTATATATAAAAAAATGTCATGCACAAACTTTTCACTTTATGTGCCTTATATAAATTAGGAATATTTTAAGATTCATCAATCAATTTTTTATGTATTTGGATTGATATTTTATTTAAATAAAATTTATTTTTAAAACATTTTAATATAAAAAAATATATATAAAATAGGTGAAAAACCTAAGTGAAAAACAACATGTTTATATATGTTTTTGAATTGATATTTTTTTTAAATAAAATATTTTTAAAACATTTTAAGAAAAAAAAAATTAAGATAGATGAAAAACCTTAATGAAAAACAATATGTTTTAAAATTGAAAATTTTGTAGATAATAATAATGTTTAAAATAGACATAAATAAATAACTGCTTTAAAAATTGGCTTCAAACGTTACAAAATATTTTAAGACATAATTAGTAAAACTATATACATATATTTTTACACAACCATATGTTAATTCAATTGTTATGAGTTTGTAAGTGTATGGTCCATTCCAGGTAGTAGACATACAGATGAATAGATGGAGCGAAACTAGTGCCTAATTGGTTTAACCTTAGAAATGTCCAATAGCCATCAGCAGATTAAAGCCATAGAGTAATCGCAGAATATCCAGGTATTACTGGTAAGACTAGTACTTCGTATTTCATTTTGGTTCTTTTTCGTACACTTTTTAAAATTTCAAATATCGAAAAATTTGCGACGCGTTTTGTCTCTGCAATAGAATATTGCAGAGATAAAAATCAAAGAATTCAAATTTGAAGTTGAATTGTAAATGGAGATAATCTTTATTATATATTTACTATGCATATAATTTACTTATTTGTTTATTTATTCACCGTCACGTTATTTTATTGGATGCCCAATACTCGTGTATTATGTGTAAAGAATCTGGAGCTAGTAATGTTCACTACGTGTCGATGTATGAAGCATGAAAATTGTGTATATATTTTGTAGAAGATTGTTTAATCTAAAAAATATTATGTGTACAATTCCATTTTCTCGTGTTAAAGGTCAAACTCTCAAATGCCCATAATATAAAATTTTTAGACGCCTTAGTTTTTAATAACATGTATATTAAATTCAAAAGAAAGAGAAAATATTAGGGGCATTTTCTTTATTATTATATATTCGTTGCTCTTTTCAGCTTTTATCAATTAAATAGAATTGAACGTAATGAGATATAAACGTGTCTACAAGGATTTTAAAGGCTGGCAATGCACAAGCAACTCCTCTCGTGTTGCAAGTATTCATGGGCAACGGTAGCCGTTTTCCTTCAGGTAGACCATCTGCTCGATTGCGAATCGAATTTAAATTTTGAAGTTTTGTATCTTATAGGTTATTATTCAAATAAAAATTTTTGAAACTAAATCCCGCAGACGTAGCGCCTTACTTCCGGCCCCATCGCCTAGTGTGGGAGTAAAAACTATTTAAAAAACAATTCTCGTTCGTTATTGGACTCTAGTGGCCTATATAGAACTTTATATTTGCGGAAAGTGAGTACGGTAGTTTAGATAAATATAGAAAATGTAGATCAACAATTTCTAGATAGAGTGTCTCTTTAAAAATGCTTCAACAATAACAACTATTATATAAGATATAAAATTGTTATTAATAATTATTACTCTTGTAATGGATGACTTTCTTACACAAACCCAGTGATTTTTTATTATTATAATGTCATTACGCAGCCCATTATTTTATTTATTTATAATTGTTACATTATCAGCACTTATAGTTTTAGGCTTTCATTCAGTATGGAAAAAAAAACGCGTCGGTTTACAATTGTAGACGTGATCATTTTGGGATGTTTTTTGATCCTGTGCTCTCCTGTGCTTATATATCTATGTGTAAATGTTCTTTGAGAGGAAACACTAACGCCTGCCAGTTCACGTTTGATGAATGTGATTATTTGATCGCAGGGCATCTTGTGGGTTTGAATATTGGCTTGAGAGCTATCTTTGTGTTTTATTATTACGCACTCCATTCGCGTGAGAAAGGATGAATAAAATATTTCGAGGAAAAGACGGTTTCCTCGTAATCTATATCGCTTTGGTGTATAAAACAATTTTCTCTCATAGTTTCAGAAGCTTTTGAAGTGGTTATCCAGATGCGGATCGTATTTAATAAAAGTTAAGTCGTCAAATGGTTTTTTCATCAAGTATTATTTATTCATTATTTCATTATTTTAATTGTTTCGATACTAAATAATCATTGTCATTATGCTGCAATTCATTTGAGGCCGTCACTTCATCTAGTGCGGATCATCATAATCTTAATCATTCATTAATATTTGTTAATACCTGCTGAAAACCAATAAATTTATTATGGATAAAATGAGTATTATATTTGTTTTTTTTTTCTATTTATAATTAGATTTAGAGCCATAGTACTTTTTAATTAATTATTATAATGTATAATATTTATAGTCTTATTCATAAAAAATCTTATTATAGGTTAAAAATGCTATTCAACTAAAATGTCTAACACAATTATGGAACGTTTATAATAGAGCGTTATTCATAAACACTCAATATGTCTCAATAATTAAAATTGGTTTATTGGAGAATTTACGTTATTATGTTGCAAACTTGTCGAGCTCTACAGGCCATAGACAATCAGCTGTCGAAAATATTATGTGATTTTAATAAAAATCTTGATAAATGCACTACTTCTACTGTTATATTTTTTGTAAAAATAATAAGAAAAATATTATAATTGCTATTTATATTAAAAAATGAATATACATATATATCAAAATATTAATGGACATGAACTAGATTAGGCATAAACAATGTTGATTGTTAATGTAATTCTTCATAATTAATCGCAGATTTTCAACTGTTCAACATTTTAGATTATAAAAAATTAAGAATTTTCATTTATATGCGTAAAATAATGTATTATTTTAACTTAATTCTACTAATTTTTAAGTTAAAATGTTCTTATAATAGGCATTAGTCCGTTATAATTTTATCCGCTATTTGATGTTTTCACCTTATTGGCTTAATGTAGTGCGTTCATGAATAACACTTTTTGCTAACACAGGTTTATGATAGGTTTATAGGTCACCTATATGTGACGTCACTATTGAACAGTTCTTACAGGGTAATAGTGCATTTATGAATAAAGATTTTTATAATCACATCATTTCCTTATTATAGAGTGTTTATAAAGTGTTGATATTTATTTCTGACTAAGACGTATATACGTAATATCAACCGTTTGATTAATTATTATAATCAAAAGAGTATATCTATTCCTTTTTAAAAGGCCGGCAGCACACCTGCAATGCCGCTGGTGTTGTGGGTGATCATGGGCGGCGGTAGTCACTTACCATCAGGTGAGCCGCAAGCTCGTTTGCCCCCTGCGTTGTAAAAAAAAAATAATATTTAGGCAGGATCCCTACTATAGAGCCGGTCTTGGTCCGATCTCGCTCCACTCTCGATATGGTATTAGATACAGTTTGAGATTGATCGGAACGGAACTGAATTGTAGTGTATACATGAAACAATGTACGATACATTGTTTCTTACGTAAATATTTTACCAGACCGAGAGCGTCACTATAGTGTGTATCCAGCCTTATGGCCACATAAAAACAGTAGAAGAAATAAGACTAGTTCAAAATATTACATACTTAGCTACAGAACCTTAACAATGTGTGTCTCTCAATACGCTTTAGGTCGGTTTTTATTTTTAAAACGTGTGGTAACACGTTGGCAATTTGGTAAAATGGACACTTGATGGAAAGTTTGCGCCCATTCGACCGTGTACTCTATATATCCGATTCAGCGAGCACACTGCTGTTCATACGAAATTTGGTACACATACTACATCTATATCTACCATAATACAAATCATACTGCTTTATCTAGGAGCTAGGCAGAAATTTACTATCTCAATTTCTTCTTTTTCTATTTGCTACAAATTGATAGAATAGATATTTTATCTCTTTTATGTTTATGTAGTTTAACGTATTGTGTAATTTAAATTGTATGAGTAAATGAGTAGATTAAAAAATATAGTTCCATGTATGTGAAAGCGACATAGATATACAAGATTTTTGACATGCACTCTAGTGGCCTCTATCAATTAAGTGGGAGTTTTGAACAAAACAAATACTGATTATTTTCGAGTTTTGAAGTATTATGTTGAAAACAAAATTAATTACATTTACGAATGTACTAGCTAACTGTTAATATAAATTAAAAATAAAATATCCAAAGTTATATATTTTATCCGTTAATATACTTCAAACTTAGCTCTTTAAATGAAATATCTCAGAATAGTTAGAAAAGTCGTATACAACCATTAGTAAAAATTGTTGTATTTAATCTAAGTAAAGTTCTGATTGCCCACAAACTAAAATAATAACAAATACATAAAAGCTTAATCTCAACTTCTTCTGCTTTAAAAATATCACACTTACACGCACACTAGTGAAAATTTTTGTCTCGTTTTAGTACATATGATATAAGTGTACCGACCTTATAGTCTTGTTTTATAAAAGTAAATATTTTTTGCAACTTGTATTTGCATTGTTGTTCTTCGGTTTGAAGGGTGAGATATGATAGTGAATTTACAGGATACAGAGTATAACACCTTAGTCCTTAGAAAGGGTAATGTATGAAGGGTATCATGGGCGAAACAGTATACACTGTTATGTCCATGGTACTGTTTAGACCCATAGGCGATGGTTACCACTTTCCATCAGGTGGGCTGTCAGCTTATTTGGCGTTTTAAGTTACATAAAAAAAGTAAAAAATAAATAAATTATAATACATCTGTAATAAATACCTATTTTAGAGATTAGTAACAATATGTTTGGAACAATAATTATGTAGGTTATGAACTCAGGACTTTTTTTAATAACCTTTAAACAAATACCACGTTTTAAAGTATTAAAATGAGTGTCCTCGCCTGAAACAATTTGTAGATACGAGTAATGTGCTCGTTGAGCTATACCTCCATTCTTCTAAGGCAGCAGGGCGCAAATATCGGATACTGTCATGCGCCCTTTTGTGTTAACTCTATTACTCCAACCGGCTTATCCGCCAGGAACATGTTTCCATACAACGTACAGAATAAACAAATACAATACTCCATCTATATTTTACCCATACTGAATTTATTGGCTTTTAGCAGGTATTAATGGATGAGTAAAATGAGAATGATCCTCACTAAATGGATATATGACAGTCTATGTGGGAGGTCTATGCTCAGCAGTGGACAGACAACGGCTGGTAGATTATGACCATAAACTTTAGAGCATAGCTATGGGATTTTATTCACCTGCCTAGAAAATATATTAGGAATCCTTAGAATCCAGCAGAAGAGCATTCATTGACGGATATAGAAAGGAGAAAGTAGGACTCACCGACCGGGTTAACTTGCTGAGTAGTTGAAGACCTTGGGTGCACCATAGGGTACACACATAGGGCTTTGACTCCTTTTCCACACATCAACACTGGTTAGATTCACAATTAGCATGTAAAAGGCACGCGGATTTCCATAGATTTTCTAGTCTTTTTTCACTAAGAGTATGAGCGACACAAGCTCAGGTACTAGCGACCGCCATAATGATATTTTTTGTTTTACATTCAAACACAGAGGTCGCCGGTCG